GATAATACATTTTTGAGCATTCATTGTGTGTAATGTATTATACCCAATCTCAAGGGATTGGAAGATGAATAGGATTGGTTTCTGCCTTAAGGGTATTTCCTAATCCACTTGGGGATAGAGATATGCACACTTAGCCATAATATAGGGCAGAATGTTCGAGAAGAACAACAGTGCATAGGAGTGAAGGGAAAAAGGCGGGGGAGGGGAGGAGTTGGTATTATGCGTGGTAGTAAGAGAACGGCATGGTAAAAGTGACATTTAAACTGTTGAGAGACAAGTAGAATATTAATGTGGACCCAAAAAGGACAGGGTGTTGCAGCACAAGGGAGGGGGAAGCAGGGAGAGAGGGGGAAAACTAGGCGCTGATCCCAAGGGCTCAAGTAGAAAGCAAATGCTTTGAGAATGATGATGGCAACAAATGTACAAATGTGCTTGACATAGTGGATGCATGTATGGATTGTGCTAAGAATTGTACGAGCCCCCAATAAAATGCTTTTAAAAAAAAGAAAAGAAAAGAAAGTAGGTGTGGCGTTGTAGGGCATGACAGCATCCCCATTTCTGTTTACCAGCCCTGGGTGATGGGACATTGAAGTTGACTTCAGAGGTCTCCCCAGGGTAAAGAATGTTGGCATGACCCTCCCGTTCCCCTGCCCCTCGATCCGTCCGCCGGCTCCCGCCTAACAGCGTGTCGTCTTTTCCGTTCACAGTTAATATGCAAGGTGTCGACATTACGAGCCTTATGCGGACGGCATACGGAGAAGCTCATGGCGTTTAAAGCAATATACCCGGACATTGTGCGACTTCACTTTCCCCCGTTGTACAAGGAGTTGTTCACTTCCGAATTTGAGCCAGCGATGCAGATTGACGGGTAAAGGTAATCGCCCGAGCACGTGTAGAGTGTCTGAAGTAGCAACCGGAAAAGCAAACAAAACAAAGCGAACCTGAGACACTTCCTATGGCCCTGCACAGACCTGGCACGCCATCCCCCTGCGCACCTGCTCGTGATCAGGGTCAGGCCAAGGAGGGAAACCATGCCGCCAGTCCAAGTCGAACTTGTTTTTCTCACGCATATGATTTCCATTATACCCACAGATACGGACCCTTTTTCTGTCTCAGCTTCTTGACCGTTGACCTCTGTTTACCCAGAAGGAGGGTACCAACGTGGGGGAAGCCCCTTTTCTTGTAGCTCACTGCCCACAGACTTTCTCCAGCGTCCCCCATCCGTCCGTCTGTCCGGAGCAGCAGGGTCCAGCCATCGTCAGTGGCCGGTGTGCAGCGCGGAGGTTGCGGCATTACTTTGCACAACTTGCTCTTTGTTTCATGAAGGAAGTTTTTGTGTGTGTGCGTCCGCTTTTGTTTTGTTTTGTTTCGTTTCGTTTTGCTCACTGATTATTGCCAGCTGCAGGACGGCATGAAAAGTGTCCACAGCACTAGCAACAGTCGCATTATAATATATTACAGGGTAAATGGGCATGAAGACTATATATAGCTAAAAGAGATCTTGTTTATATTATTGTTTTAATTAATATAAAATGTAGTTACTGGTGTAGCTTTTCCTGTTGAATTGAGATGAGGCACTTTCGTTTTGCACCTTCTTCTTTGAGTGGAATACTAGGGTGTTCACTGTCATGTCGCATGTGCACCAGAAACACAAGTTTAACTGAGAAGGCTTGGAAGGTATGCCGGGAGAGGTTTATGCTGCTGTGTACAGACTTCCTTTTCAAAGACTGGCTGGTCATATCTAGAAATCACCATGTTGAGTTTTCCTTTTTCCTTTTTTAATCGATAGACATGAATTTAGAAGTGGAACTCTCTCTAAATTGTGCTTTGCTTTTGGGTAAGCTTCCGAGTCGATGTGTTTATGCTTCATACAAAGCTGAATCTTCTGTAGAGGTTGGGTTTGCCCTCACACGCTCGCCGGGGAGCGGGGCGTGGGGGCAACGCTCTTTTCAATGGTACCTCCTGGTGGAGGTCCAGGAAAGGCTCGTTGTGCCGTTTCCTAGGGAAAAGGACTTGGTCTCAGTTTGGAATCCTTAACACTTTGAGAGCAAATCAGTCACGAATATTTATTAGAATCTAGCTTCTTTAAGTTTTTTATTTTAAGAAGGATCCAAAGATTTTACCAGGAGCAGACGCACACCCCACCCAGGGGGACATGAAGCATTACTTGGTGGGTGAATCTGTTTCAGAGCGTGTCCCAGAGCGGACTAATTCTACACCAGCTGCCTGGCAGTGTGGCAGTTTCCGTGTATCGCTCCTCAAGACACGGATGGGGAGGGTGAGGAAGGCACAGAGAGTGTTGAATAGGCTTTCTCTTATTTACACGATAAGTATTTTAAACCTTTAACGTGAAGTTGATGCTGGCTGCAAGCCGTTGCTTTTGTGTTTATCTTCACGAGAAAACTGTGGACGGTAACTTATTTTATTAAATGTGTTGAAGATTGTTCCGTTGTTGTGTGCAAGTGAGGCTGATTGATTTGTTTTAGTTTGATCTTCTGGAGTTTTTTATGGTCCCCAGTTCGGGAGCGGGGAATGCAGCAGTCTTATGTACGTGCAGGTGCGCGTGTTGTAGAGAGAGCGTGACCTTTTAGGAACCGGAGCATTTCGAGTATGTTATTCCCGCCAGGGATAGGATTGAAGCTGCTGGTCAGACCCCCACAGCCACGTTTGTACAGACAGGAAACATCATCCCCTGGCCTAGAGGTGGGAGCTTCCAAGTAACCCTTTACAACCCAGGAAGTATCTCTCCTGCCACTTGGGTCCCTCCTGAGTTTTCCCCAGGACTTGGGCCTCCTGATGTCAGACTGGATTCCCAGCCTGGGTTCCCCAAAGCCCTCACTGTGCTTTAAACTCCACTGACTTTTTAACATATTTCCAAAGGGACTTGGCAGAAGGAAGGAATGATTTACTCAGAAGCATGTATGAAGCCTAAATAACATCTCAGTCTTTTGCTGTTGTTGTTTTTCCCAAAAAATAGAGTAAGAGTTTAACCATAAATAGAAGACGAAAGTAATATTTACTTAAATTTCTTACAGATATATAAAACTTTATGTGTTTATATAGAGAGGTTAAGTGTCAGCATATAGTATTTATATCTGGGTAAAAAGGGTTAAATAAAATTGCTTAAAATTTAAGTAAGCATAGTTCCTTTAAAAGACAAATAATATTTATACTCTAGGAAGAGTTCTAAGCTTAGTTCCGTTATTTATTTGTCCATTGTATTCTATTCTTTGTTCTTCGGAGTAAAATGTGTTTGGTTTGGGGGTGGGCGTCTTGTTTTGTTTTGTTGTGGGTCATTCCAATTCACAAAATTTGGGAATGGTTTTCTTCAAGTTCATTAACTTCTTTTTAACCAAAGCTTTCTGAATATGACCAGCCTCAGGTGCTAGCTAGCGCATTAAAGAGCAACTAAACTCATTTCAGCGTTCACTCTGAGATGGCCAGCGTTAGGAGAACTGCAAAGAGGGTGAGAGAGAACTTAACGTGGAACTTAAACCGCACTCCTTTGCCAGGAAGGAGTTTGTATGGACTTAATGCAAAAAGAACAGAAGAGCTGTTCCAGTCTCAATAAAGGTCACTTCCTGTGACACTGGTTTTAGAGTTAACCAGGGAAGAGTGTTGTAATCCTGCTACTGGGTCTGAGAGAAGAACAAGGTTCATCGGCTATGTAGGAACAGAACCGTGGGGATGTGCTAGGTGTGATGAGTATTCGGATCTACATTGGGAACTAAAGTGAAACCATAATTCTGTCAGAAAAAAAAAATTACAGGGTCCAGAAAATTATGTGGAAAATGTTGTGTTTTTTTTTCTTCCTTGTTATAGAAACACCTATAAAAAGACTTGGTGGCGCCAAGTTACAACTAGAGTTTCCGAAATGTATACACCCCCTAGTCTTTCCAGGATTGGAACGATGTCGCTGTCGTCTTGGCTGCTATAAGGCATTTGTACTTTCTTTTTTTAAGGTAGGGTCCATGAGACTGGGAGAAAGCCGGAATACGGTCTCTCGCCGCGGTGTCCGAATAGTCGTGCCACCGTGTGGAGAACTGGCCCCGGGCACAGTGAAAAGAAAAGTGCGGATGAAAGTGCTTTTGGACAGTTTGTAAATTGCATTAAAGCTATGATTTTTTTTTTAAGTGTTCAGCATCCTAATTTGTGTGAAGGCTACAGATGTTCCCCGTCTCTGGCACCCTAGTTCACCCATCCTCACATACGGAAGACATGACTTTTGACACTGCTTCTAAGTTTGGTTGTTCTTGAGGGTGTGGATTCCCAGATCTCTGTGAGTGTGCGGTGGGGTGAGGTGAGGAGTGAGCACACGCGTGTGTATGTACTCGCGTGTGCACACGCATGTGCGTGCGTGTGCTGTGCGTGCGCCAGACTGCTTTTTAGGCTACTACGTGTCAATGGAAAAATAAAATGTATTCGAAACACTTAAATCAAAACTTAAAGATGGAAAAAAAAAAAAAGATTTATTCTATACAAAGCCTTGTCTGGACCACTTTAGAGAGACTTCTATTTTTTTAACCCTTCTATAAATATTTGATGGCACTTTTCCTGCAATAAAATGTGATTTGTGTAAAGAAAAAAAAAAGATTTTGTAATGTGAAACAATGAAAGAAAGTAATGTAATTTTCTAAAAAAAAAAAAGATACAAAACCAACAAACTTTGTATTATTTTCTTGATGGAATTTTGTCTGTCTGTCTTTGGGAAACTTTTATTTCACTACATGTGCCATGGTAGATAGAGGTGTGTTTCGTTTTCGACTAAGGAATAGATGTGTGTGTTCCGACATTCCCACGCGCTAACCCACCTCGCACGGTCCTTTCGTGAGGAGGTTGGAGAAGTCGTCTGTCCTCAGCCTCCCTCGCCCTCGCCGCTTGTTTGCACGTGTTCTTCCTGCCTCTCTAGTGCAATATGTACATAGAGCACTTGCGGGTGTACCTTGATCCCTCAGGGAAAAAATACATATTTGTACAGTGTTTTGGGTTATTGTTCTTGTTTCGGTTTGTTTGCCTTTTTTGGTCGCGGGCTAAGGAATGTCGACTGACATCACGTGTTGAGGGGCAGCCAGATAATGATCCGAAATCCACTGTTTCCAACATTGAGTGTGTCAATCACGTGTCCTTCTAGTGCTGTTCGTTTAAGATAATAATAAGTTTTAAGTTATTTTCTGACAGTTCTTTGTGCTGATAGGTGAGAAAGACTGAGAGAGAGAGAGAGAGAAGGGTAAATAAGCACCTTATGATTGACTTACTGTGAATGACAATCCATCTTGCTATCAACAATAAAAGCCCTATCATTTTGGAGTTGGGGTTAAGAGTCAGAAACCATGTGCTCAGGGATCTTCTAAAACTCTTCAAACAGGGTGGCCAGTACTACTGGGACAAATTGTGTGGTGTTTCCTTTCTTATCATAATGACAATAATACTATCCCTCCAAGGCACAAGTGAGTTGTGTAGCACTGGGGGGGTGTGTGTGTAGGGGGGGTGAGTGTAAACTTCTTACTATCTCTTTGTGTTGAGTTTGACATGTAGTGTGCTGTTTGGTCTTGTGTGCTTGGAAATTGCGAATCACTTCCAAAGCAGTATAAAGTCACGCCAGTTATGTTCAAAAGATAAACCCATAGCTGAAGTCGGGACAGAAAGCCGCCACTCAAAATGCAGTCCCACTTTTTGCCATTTGCCAAGCTCTACTCTTAATAAAATATTTTTCCCGAGGATATTTAAAGCATTATGTGTCAAAAGCTATTTCAAATTCTAATTCTACATACTATGAATTTTTAAAAAGTTGTTAAAAACCAGTGGTCATATGAGAGACCCATCTGTGTAGTGAGGTAGGTAAAAAATGACACACTTGTTGGTTTAAATGCCAGTAATTACTATTGTTTGCCCTCTGTCCTCATATAGGGGTGGAGGGGGGGAAACAAAAATCCCTGTAAGTACAATACTGCTTCTACTAGTACATTCATGGTCTGTACCTGTTAATTCAGAGGCTGGTGTTGAAAAAAGAAACCTACTCGTATTATAACAACTACAACCAGCTTATAGGATGCAGTTCACAGTGTTGAAATACAGTCCTGTTTGCATATTCTCATTTATTTTTCCCATCATGTCAGTGACCCTTGGGGTTCTTGTTGACTTTAATTGTTCCACACCTGAACCATGTAGTCAGAGGAAATGTTACATAGTTTCTCATTACCAAAAGAACTTCCATGCTTTACAGATCAAAAAGATACCTTCACCTTGTTTTGTCTAAGAAAAACAGAGAAAATGGCACACACCACCTATGCATAGATAGGCGGATTATTGAAGGGTTTTTTTCTAGTGTTATTACATATGAGTGTCACTTCTGACTTGCAAAAGGAACCCCGTAAAATAATGTGATAGGATGGATCAAATTGTGTGCCAAGAACTGCCCTGGCATTAGTAAATCTTGATCTGTTGCTAAGAGTCCCTGACCAGGTCTTCATTTTAACCCCCAAATGCTAGTATTCTTCAAAAGTTTGATAGATTTAAGGGGGTGGGAGGTGAGGGCGGAGGTTTTCTGACTGTCTGATTGTGAGGCGGGCACAGGATGAGCATCCATGCCTTCCCAGGGCAGTTGACTTCACTTTGGGGTCCGTTTGCTCCTTTGTTTGCTTGTTTGCTCATTTGTTTAGATGAGTTCAGTTTTGTCAGGCTCTCAGATGATTTTAAAAGGAACCCAGAAGCCTGGCTTCATCCCAAGCCACCATCACAGACGGGGGGGATGTCCATGTTCACCCAGACCCTCAGAACCTAAAGCAATAAATACTTTCTGTCATTTATGTGTCCGTGAATGACGGGATCTTCAATCCAAATAGAAACCATCCTTCTTGTCGAGTGATGCCATGGAACACGGAGCCCTGAATGGCCAACACGCAGGGGAAGATTGGCAAAGGAGGTCTAGAGAATGTGCGCTTGCTGTTTACACTCCATGTGCTTTGCCACATGAAGCAGTACCCCATTTCCTTGTCTTTGTTCCTTCTGAGACCTAATGAAAGGTAGTACGCCCGCCATTAGCTTTGACATACTGCACATGCCACGAGGTTGTTCTCGAAGAACAACGAGACCCTCCCCAGTGTGTGTGTGTGTGTGTGTGTGTGTGTGTGTGTGTGTGTGTGACTCCTTTCTCACTCGTTCTGACTTTAATGTGGATGAAGATTATTCCCAGGAACTTGATTGTCCTGGAGCGGATTGCAGGTGTAAATGCAGATAGGTCTTGAGCAATATAGTGAATCTGAGTTCACAAAAAAAATTCGTATGTACTGTACACACCTTCCTGAATCCGAAAGGCTCTTCTTATCCACGATGGTTTGAAATCTCATGGAAAACAGTGGTCAATTTGTAAACAGTAGGACATTAGCTGGCTGCTTCTTTAAATGTACTTGTATTGTCTGCCTGCTCCTTTTAGGGAGATGTGTTTTTGTATTGGATGTTTGGGCCAATGGGAGGCTTCAAGCTACAGCATATTTTCCCAGTTTAAATATATTTAACATATGACAAACCCCAGACAAGGCTTTTGATATGTATAAAGAACTGCAGTGTTAGGTGGTTTATTTGCAAACCGTTTTAATGTTGTCCATTTTTATGGCACCTTTAACAATATTCTTGTTTCCAAAGTACAAAAAAAAATAGGTTAAATAATCTAGCCATAACTGAATGTCAAGCAATAAAACAAATGACTTTTGTGCATAGATTTAAAAAAAAATACAAATTTTAGACATCTGCATGTAAATGCAACCTCTTGTTTACTGCTTTCTTCAACTTGAGCAATTGATTCCTTATTTACTCTTAACTTAAGGACTTGTAATGGCCTGTAAACATTTTCTCTTACTCTCCTTTCAGATTTACCTTTGTCTCTGCTTTTGGGTCATAATATTTAATGTTGTTCTGCACATCTCTATACAGTTAACTTTTTGGCTTTCATTCTGTATAGATAAGAAAATGTTATATTATAAACAGCCTACTCAGTGCAAATATTTATCTGTTGATCAAATACCACAATATGCTGTATAATACCGGTTTTACTATATAATCTATTTTAGACATAGCTGTTTAGAACTAGAGTGTGCTATTTTTGTGTTTTTCTGATGTGTGGTGCTAGATAAGTTACTTTTGTGAACAACAACAACAAAAAACCCCTTTTATTCCTAGAAAATACCACCTTTGGGTCTTGTTAATTTCACTGAGTATAACTATATATTTGTGTATATATATACATATAAATATATATATATATATATACATATACCTGTGCCCAACTGGCAGCTGTATCAGAGTGCTGGATTTGGGTCGTGCTTTTCTCTTTAAATACATAATATTATATAAATTATTCTAGAGTATATTTAATTGGGATAAAATTACTTCCTTAGTATTGATATTTGACATCTGTAGGGTGAATTTGTTTATAAATATGGATCTATGAAAACGTATCAGCTACTTTATGTTTGCTACTTGGCTTAATACCATATCGCCTAAGCTGAAAAACAATGTGCCAGGCCTTTAAGACCCTAAAGAAACCCTCTACTGAACGGAGTAACGTGCTTTTTTGCCTCTTATGAAGGGATTGTGTTATTATCTGCTGACGGAGTTGCGTGCCTCGCTCCTTTGATGGATATTAAGAGTCTGTACAAAAGCAGCCTCGGTGGCCTGGAGGCAGAATATCCCTTTCCCTTCCCCCTGGAGCCCTGTGTGGTGTAGCGAGGGATCCCTTGCCAGGATCTGGGCTATCCAGCAAAACCCAACCAGGATGTCCTGCACTGTTGAATAACCTAAGCCAGTTCCATGAACTGAGTGGAGGACTTTAATTTTAAAAGTAATGTAATGGTGACCTTAATTAAACTCTTTCATCTAGTTTCCCAAGACTTCTGAGTGCTCTTAAAAAATCAATGCATCTCAAATATCTAACTAAGGATGTAGTTAACCTTCTTAAATATTGCTTAGAATTGTTCTCCAATATTACCGAATTTGTAAGATCTTTAGCAAAGATTTTTTGAGCAATTTATAAATCTAGAGCAAATGTTTCTGTTTACTGCACTTTTTGTAATTGAAGGTGATAAATTCTCAAGCCACGATGGTTGGCTTCCATGCGCTGCATACTCACCCATAATTCTAGACAGTTCCCATTTCGGTGCAAGAGTTGCTGTTACCTTACTGGTACATGCAATCATGTGTGGTTAATGAGAGCGAGTGCTAGCAGGTTAGCCTTTTTTGACGTGAATTGGCTGAAGTGTAGGGAGAAATTTCTGTGAATACAAATCACATCATTCCAGATGGCTTTACTTAGAACACGGTTGAAATCCTTGGAGGGGTGGGGAGAAAGAAAAAGACACACACATACACACACACACACACACACACACACAGAATCCTAAGCCTCCCAGGGATAGAGATTGCAATCTCTCCGAGTCTGCACAATGGCCAGCACATATCCATACTTAACTAAGGTTAATTGCCAGCAAGTATATCCCTGGGTGGTTTTGGTAAATTTATATAGTATGCCAAGCCTTATGGCAAACAATTTCTTCTATAACCAAAAATTAAAGCCACAATGAAAAAACAAACATGACATGCTGGCTCTACTTGTCTGTAGGTCTTGAGGATTAAGCACACAAAGTTCACACAACTTGGTGAGTAACGACACTCAGCCTTCTGTAAATAGACATGCAAGTGTGGAAGCAGTAATACTGGACTGTATATGCTGTTTGTTTTGTGTACAGTATGTCAAAACAAAACAAAAAATCTCCTTTTCTGCCACACTAAAATTGCAAGCCATGTATGGGAATCCTAAAAATAGTATTGTACTAAAACTTTGCTAATGATCTTTATTAGAGGCTCATCCAACTTTTCACTTACATTGGGTTTTCCTGTCAATTCACTCTTGCAGTAGTCTGCTTACTTCCAGCTGTTTGTTATTTTATTGCGTCCTGAATTTAAAAAAATATTTTGATTCATTTTGTAAATACAAGCTGTAAAAAACAGAGAGATTTAATGTTGTCTTTTAAATACTCCAATTTTCATTCTAATATGAATGTTGTTATATTGTACTTAGAAACTGTACCTTTAATATTACATTACCTTTATTAAAAGTGCATTGAACACATCAATTTTAGATGTGCTTTATGTACGAGTATCCTATAATAAAACTTCAGCTTCTAATGGAACACCTGCCTGGCTTTTCTCGTTTTCTTGGTGACTGAATTGCACTGTGCCTGGTTTTCTAGCGCATTCTCGATGTTATACCTTGCTACCAGTATGTGGTCGGCTTGACCCTTGTTATTGCGTTTCATGGACCCGTGGCAGTACCATCACCCGGAATCAAAATTCAGCCAGTTATCATAGGGAGTCCCTAGTGGCGTAAGCTCTTAAGGACTCACCTGCTGTAGCTGGAAGGCGGAGGGGTTGCAGTTCAAACCTGCATAGAGGCACCCCAGGAGACTAGCCTTGAAGTGTGCGTCTCAAAGACACTCTTGAAAACTGCAGAGCAAGTTCTGTTCTATACACAGGGGGTCACCGTGACTAGGTAAAGATGCCATGGCAACTAGTAAGTATCATTCTATTTTAATTGGTGCCAAGATTTTTTTTTAATCATTTTCTTGGGGGCTCATACAACTCTTATCACAATTCATCCATCCATTCTTTCAAGCACATTTGTACATAGGTTGCCATCATCGTTCTCAAAACATTTGCTTTCTACTTGAGCCCTTAATATCAGCTCCTCATTTTTCCCTTCCCTCCCCATTACTCCCTCCCCCATGAACCCTTGATAATTTATAAATTATTATTTTGTCATATCTTACACCATCCGACGTCTCCCTTCACCCATTTCTGCGCTGTCCGTCCCCCAGGGAGGTTATAAGTAGTTCCTTGTAATCTGTTCCCCCTTTCTCCCTCACCTTCCATCCGCCCTCCCCATATTGCCACTCTCACCACTGGTCCTGAGGGGATCATCTGTCCTGGATTCCCTGTGTTTCCAGTTCCTATCTGTACCAGTGTACATCCTCCGGTCCAGCGATTTGTAAGGTAGAATTGGGATCGTGATGGTGGTAGTGGTGGGGGGATCAAGAACTAGAGGAAAATTGTATATCTCATCATTGCTACACTGCACCCTCACTGACTTGTCTCCTCCCCACAGCCCTTCTGCAAGGGGATGTCCAATTTCCCACAGATGGGCCCTGGGTCCCCACTCCACACTCTCTCTCATTCACAATGCTATGGGTTTGTTTGTGTGTTTTTGGTCTTTGATACCTGATACCTGATCCCTTCAACACCTTGTGATCTCACAGGCTGGTGTGCTTCTTCCATGTGGGCTTTGTTGTTTCTCAGTTACATGGCCCCTTGTTTATCTTCCAGCCTGTAGGACCCCAGATTCTATATCTTTTGACAGCTGGGCACCATCAGCTGTCTTCACCACATTTGCTTATGCACCCATTGTCTTCAGTGATCATGTCGGGAAGGTGAGCATCACAGAATGCCGGATTGTTAGAACAGTGTTCTTGTGTTAAGGGAGTACTTGAGTTGAGGCCCAATGTCCATCCACAACCTTCATTCTTAACACATAGATGTGAGTACATAGTTCTATTCCCCTCTCATTATTTATGTATTTACATATGTACATGCCTGTATTTAGGCCTCTATAAATGTCCTTTGCCTCCTGGTTCTTTCCTCTATTTCCTTTTACTTTCCTCTTGTCCCACCTCATGTTTGGCCTTCATTCAGGCTTAGTCATTCCTCCCAGCTACATTGCCCTTGATTAAGCCCCACTAGGCATCCTATGACCTTCCTTACACTGATTTTAGTTCACTTGTTGTTCTCTTGTCCCTGGGTTGGTTACACCACCACCCCGTTCCTTTCTCCCACCTCCCCTTCTCCCATATCCCCCCGGAACCATTGGCCCCATTCTTTTCATCTCCCAATTATTTATCCTGCCTATCTTATCTAGGTAGATATGCAGATACATTAATAAGTGCAAAAACCTGGCAAAGCTAAATAAAACAACAAAGGAAGCACCCCTGACTCTCATAATGTCCCACAGGGAACAGGTGGTTTGTAAATTTAAAAAAAAAATCATTTTATTGGGGGCTCATACAATTCTTATCACAATCCATCCATTGTGTCGAGCACATTTGTACATTTGTTGCCATCATCATTCTCAGACATTTGCTTTCTACTTGAGCCCTTACTTTCAGCTGGTTTGCGAATCAGTACAAAGAGACAGGCTGGCGTTTCTCACCCACCCGCAGGCGCCGCAGTAGAAGCCTGCTTCCGATGGTGGCAGAAGCCTCTCGCTGGATTAGCTGTCACCGTACCTTGTGGTGGTTCCCCCGGTGGCGGTGGCGAGATGAAGAAAAATCCTGCGCTTGTGTTTTGTTTTCCCCCTCGTGTTATTCAGCACACCAATGGAGTAAAAAGATAGCAAATTAATCTTTGCGCATTTGATTTGCTTCTGAGTCCCACTCAATGAACCGCTCACACAGTGCTTTTCACTCCAGGCGATTGCCCATTGCGGGTGGGGACACCGAGGAAGGCTGATTCGGTCTATCAATGATTCTGTGCTTACCAAAACCAGAATCCCAGCTTACCACGAGCAAGTGGTTCCGACTCATACCAACGCTACAGGCACAGTAGAACTGCCCCTGTGGGTTTCTGAGGCCGTAAATCTTAACAGGAGCAGAAAATCTCATTTTTTCCTCAGAGGGTTCATGGGTTCGAACTGCTGACCTTGCAAGTAGTAGTCCAACAAGTCACCCACTACACCATCCCCCTGGCCCTGCACTTAGAGGATAATTCATTTTAATATTAGCTTCACGCCATGTGAATTATGAGTGCCCCCCAGCAGGCTCTACATCTGCCTCTTCTGCCATTCTCTCTCCACCCCCATATTGAAATACACACCAAAACTCAAACACAGAAATATGTTCGCAATTAGTTTTCTCAGAATTATCTATGATCCCCCTGTGACACACTTAAACGACTGCGGAAAACAGCAATGATCAACCGCCAGGGAACCAATCCCAACGCACGGCCTCACGTGTGGGTCTGAGTAGAACGCAGCTCCGCGGGGTTTTGGAAAAGTGAATCTGAGGCAGTAACTCACCGGATCTTTCTTCTGAGGGCCCTCTGGGTGGATTTCCCTCACTAACTGTCCAGTTAGCAGCCAAATAAGCCGACTGCACCCCCACCCCACGCCAGGGACTTCTTAGGAGCTCCTAATAAAAGACCAGCATTCAAATGACGGATCTCCGGATATTTTCAGCCTCCACACCATGCCATGCAAGCACAATGAAACAAGCACACTTCAGGAAGGGGTATCTTCCGAGGGGAACGTGGGAACTCTTGAACCCCTCTGTTCTGACACAGCATGTCCTGGCCAGTGTCTGCAGTGCTAACGGTGACTCCCTCCCCTAAGAAATACCAGGGATTGCTGAAAAGCCTGAGGTGAGTAAACTGTTATTAGCAACAGTATTTTCCGATAGTTTCTGACCGGTTACTAGATTGGAGCCTCTTTCTGTGAGGCCTATTTCTGGATTCTCGTTTTGAAAGCACCTTATAGATGATTGTAAATTCATGAAACAATTCCCCGAGTGAAGCAATAAACTCACCAAGGTCAAATTTACCCCAAATCAAGCAAAGGAAGCTTGCTAGCTAAGGGTGGGGAAATGACCCCGTTCTAGTAAGGGGGGAGGGGGGGAGGAGGAAAGGTAGTCTTTTATATTTCTCTTTCTTAATTTGGCCCCCCCAGAAGAAATACATATGTAGAAACAACTGGGATAACTATGCAAATTTTATCTGATCATTTTTTTCAGAATTTTACTTAGCTAGGCATTTGCGATTTTAAGAAATCTTTTTGACATGTGCTGATGAAACATTCCAAAGGCTCAGAACAAGTGAATTCTTTTCAAAGGTAAACCTGAATTTACCACACTGCCTAGCAAGTCCATTCCTAGGTCTCTACCCAAGAGAACTAATAACTATGTCCCCACAAAGACTTGTACACATGTCCAATAGTATGCCTAAGAGTCACAACAGGGAAACCACGTTAGTGTGGAGAAGAACATGGGTATAAAATCAGGAGGAGCTGATACCAAGGGCTCAAGTAGAAAGGAAATGTTTTGAAAACGGTGATGGCAACACATGTACAAGTGTGCGTGGCCCAACAGATGGATTGTGATAAGAGCTATCCCAGCAAAATGCTTTTTTAAAATGGACCTATGCACAGTTGTGTTCTGCCACAGAAAGGAAGGAACAGCTGGTGCCTGCTGCAAAACATGTGTGATCCTTGGAAACACAAGTCTGCTTTTAGGCGAAACGAGCTAACTGCACAAGGCTGTAGAGTGTAGGATTCCAGAGAGTCAATAAAGGAAAGGTTGGCAGCTCAAAGCCACCACCCTCTTGAAGGGAGAACGAGGCTAATCAGCTTCCATAAAGGTTTGCAGCCAGGGAAGCTCTCGCGAGGAGTTCTGCTCCGTCCTGCAGCGTGGCTAATTTAATTGGAATCAGCTTCACGGCAGTGGGTTTTTCAGTGGATTCCATTTCTACGAACTGTCTAGGAAAATCTCTGGAGAGAGCAGACTCAGTCAGCCTGGGCTGGGGCTCTGAGCAGGAATGGTGATTGATTACAAATGGGCATAAAGCATCTTTCAAGGAAATGGACCTGGTCTGAAACTGCAGAACACTGATGGCCGCCCAGCTCTATTCATTTACTTTAGAGTGAAGTGCTCTGACTGCCCCTGTCTGTTTCGCTACTGATTGTGTGATGCTGGGAAAGCCGCTTGGCAATCTAGACCTCAACTTCCTTATCAGGGGAATGAGAGTGCTGGACTAGATTATCTCCAGCCAGCGTTCCATCTTGCTTTGAAAATTCTGATTCTCTGTGCTATCCGGAAACCGCCAGAAAGACACACCAGGGCAGAGCGTGTTACTTGATGGCAATCGAGAATCTTACAGAGGGCATGGCTGGTAACGCTGCTATACCGCACTACTGTGGGCTGGCACATTCCACCAGCATGAATTCCTGGCCAATGACCATAGTTATTAAAGGCTCAGAATGTCTGTAACTGCAACACTTCAAGTTCTCTACTTGGCCGGACAAGTCATCAATAGAAAATGCTACTTGCAGAGTGCCGGGTAGTTCCCTGTTGGTTGCAAGCATTTACAAGCCCTGTCTCCTAATTGACCTCCTTCAATCATACATTACACCGCCAAGTAAACAACCCCGACGCACAGCTGCTCTCAATGTGTTACCTTCTGCTTAGCACAGTGGTTCCCAATCTTCCCAAGGCCACCACCCTTTCATACAGTTCCTCCTGTGTAATTTTGTCATTTGTGTGTGTTATGCTTTTCTTGAATATGAAATCCAGGATAGATAAACCTATAGAGACCCGGGGAGCTAAACCAGTGGTTCTCAACCTTCCTAATGCCGTGACCCTTTAACACAGTTCCTCCATAGAAGAAAGAAGTAGGAGGCAAAGGGCATTTAGAGAGGTCTAAATACAGGCATGTACATATGTAAGTATATTTATATCTGATGATGGAGAAATAGATCTATGTGCATATATTTATAGGTTTAGTATTAAGGTAGCAAACGGACATTGGACCTCCACTCAAGTACTCCCTCACTGCAAGAACACTTTGTTCTCTTAAACTGACATTCTATGATGCTCAGCTTCCCGGCATGACCATTGAAGACAAAGCTGGTGCATAAGCAAATGTGGTAAAGAAAGTTGATGGTGCCCAGCTACTAAAAGATATAATATCTGGGGTCTTTAAGGTTTGAAGACAAACAAACGGCCTTCTGAGAAGCAACAAAGTCCACAAGGAAGAATCACGCCAGCCTGTGTGATCACGAGGTGTCGATGGGATCAGGTATCAGGCATCAAAGACCCAGAACAAAAACCCATATCATTGTGAATGAGGGGGAGTGCGGAGTGGAGACCCAAAGTCCATCTGTAGGCAACTGGATATCCCTTTACAGAAGGGTCGTGGGGAGGAGACGAGCCAGTCAGTGTACAATTGTTCTTTTATATAAAGCTCTGTTTTATACACATGACTGTCTATGAATTTGTTTCTCTGGTCTACCTGGACTAACATCAAGTATGTGCCAATAAAACTGTTTTTAAATAAATAAAGCTTGAAGCAGAAGAAAAAAAGGACTTGTGCAGCAGATCTACCCAATGTAACTCTCTTTACTCAATGGCTGCTGCTTCCTTGAGCGTTGATTATGGATCAAACACATTTGTGCACGAAACCCTTGACAACGTCTCTCTTTTCTCCGTCTGCTGTCCTACCTCTTCAGAATAAATGAAAACAAAACCAGCGCTGGGAGCTGGCATCTCGACGTGGGATTGGGAGAGGAGCAGAGGGGAGTGGTCTAAGTTGGAGTCCACTTGATGGCACTCAGTACTAGGTGCCAGGTCCTGTACAGAGCATAGCTTCAGCCCTTACTTAATGTAATCCTTTCAAACAGCCCCGCCCTCGGCACCCCACCCCCACCCCCATGCCAACACTATCCCCAGCATTTTGCAAATGAGATTATTCTCTTCTCATTTCATCACTGGAAATTGATGAGCCTTTTCACTAAGGTCAAGGGCTTTCTATGACAAGGACTTGTAGACCAACGGTTCTCAACCTGTGGGTCGCGACCTCTTTGGGGGTCAAACGAGCCTGTCACCGGGGTCGCGTAAGACCACCAGGAAACACGTATTTCCGATATGGTCTTAGGAACCGGGACACCACTCCTCTCTCCGTCTCCAGGGGTTCTGCCACATGCAGATAAGCTGATCTGGTGAGAAAGAAGCTATCTCAACCTTCGCACGGATGTTGGCTTTTTATGCATACTGTTGCAAAATGTAGCGATGTAGTTTACTGTGGTTACATTAAGGCTGTTACCCATGCTACACCATGCTTCAAGACAAAATTCCATTTATTGGTCATTAGAAATAAATATTTCATAATCTATAATTACATATTTTGTGATTCATCACTTGTGGGGTTAAGGGGAAGAGGGAACCCCACAAAACATCACAGGTTCGGTAGGCGCAATTGTACAGC